AAGTTAAACAACATTGAACCTTATCATGGGTGACTACTTAGGGCCCTTGAAAAACTCTGTTGCAATCCAAGAAAGTCAAATATGTGTCAAATATTTTACACACACAGTAAACAAGAAACACATATATTCAAATTGAATACATTTATTATAGGTATTAAAAGGATGTTGAAAATGAAGAAGCATGAACGCGAACAATGTGACGTTTCAGATGGCTTTTTCGGTTGAAGCCTTTGAAGCAGATTGAGCAGGTGAAAAGCTCCTGGATTTCCCCGTGGAGGGCGTTGAAGTGCCGCTTGAGGTTGTAAAGGTCGTAGAAGGTTTTGTGACAGACAGTGCATGTGTTTCTGGATCCTGCACATCATATTCAAGAGGATATAATGAGGGTATAGGATAAAATATCCACAGAAAAGTTCGCAGCTAAAAAACATCGCGCAGTTTCGATTAGGTTCCGAGGCAATTTTTGTTCTATCGTGTTTGGCGAAACAGTGGAAACGTGCATTTGGTAATCAAAGTTAAGCAATATCAGACCGGGTCAGTACTTGGGAGGGTGACCACATAGGGGTCATTGGATAGTTGCTGATTTTTTACCCTTGACACAGATGGACGTGAGAATTCAAAGGTGAACGATATACAGATATTATTTTGATTTTGAAAATAGAGCAATCCATAAATAAATCTTTAAATAAAAAGGCAAATATTGGATCAAAATATCATTTATTTCACCAATATTTCAGTTGGCTGAACGCCAACAGATATTATGTAAACAGTTTTTTTTTTCCTGAATGAAATTATAGTGCCTTAAAGTCTGCGCGTTTATCAATAAAGAAACTTATAACAAAACAAGATAATAACTTTAATTACATACTTACATGAACAAGAGTGTCACAGCAAGTCTAGAGTTACATATCTTGTCAGTTCTTTGGTGTCAGATGGATGAAGATGTTGGTTATCCATCTGAGTATTTGTTGGTGGAAAAGATATATTTCTTCAACAATTGGAGATAATACGAGGGCTTACCATTGATGGATAAGTTAGGTCCTCTCAATATTTCGAATCTTCCATTTACCGTGGTTGTAGAAAGTTATCTTTCATAGAATACAATTTAAGAAATAGCGTTAAATGTTTTTATTTACGACAGATAGATGGTGCTAGTGATCGCGATTGTTATACACCAATAGGTTCTACGGCGGTTCCAAAACCATCGTCAAAATTTAGGTTCAACCATTTTGGATAGTCCGCTCTTTCAAGTATACAGCAGTTCCACAAATTCAAAAACTCAATGCTAACTTTGCTATCTTCACAAAGGCAACAATTTAGTCACACTATACAGTGATGGTTGGAAATATAAAGTTGATGTTTCTATATAAACATATGATCCTTTTCTATTGGGGATGCGAGATGGAAATCAAATTTGATGAAATTCAGTATAATTCAGTAATATTTTTTTATTCTTTTGGTTTGTCACTTTCGAGAGTGAGGTTTCAAAAGCTGGACCCATACAAGAGCTGGAAGTCAAGCTAGAGATACATTTCTGATGGCCTAAATCTAGACACCAGTAAGTTCTATCGTTATCAAATTTATTTTCAGAAATCCATCATAGCATTCAATTATATGAAACAAATAAGCAGACAGAATGGTAATTAGAAACAAACAAACAAAAAAACATTCGGTTCTTTTCTTTCTTAAAATCATTGAGTATTTTCCAAAATTCTTTTTTTTTTCTCAAATTTTCCTACACCTTTGGAATGTACCAGGGTCTATGCGCGACACCTGCTGTCATCTCACAGAGGAAGAACTGTGGTTAGACATTGACGGTTTTTAGACAGCCAGAATCGCATCCCAAAATGAGCGATTAATAAATTTCTTCAATGGACCCCCCACTTTCTCAAGCCCAACTCCGTCATGGAGTGCAAGTAACCAAACAGGGCTCCAGAACACCTATAAATGCAATGGTCGAACTGCTTTCTACATGGGGACATGTAGTAAATTTAGAGTAGTAGCAACTTCCAACTTACAATTATTATCATGGTCTGTATCCATGTATACTTGGTATCATTAACAAAACACAAATTTCTCTGAATCACACAAGAAACATATATCCAAAGAAGAATACCTTTATTTGTAGTTTCAAGCGAATCGTGAAGAATGGACGCAAACCATGTGACGTTTCAGATGGCCTTTCTGGGTGAAACCTCTGGAGCAGAGAGAGCAGGTGAAGAGCTCCTGGATCTCGACGTGTTGGGTGTTGAAGTGACGTCTGAGGGTCGAGAGGTCGTAGAATGTCTTGAGGCAGACCGTGCAGGTCGTCTTGGACCCTGCGTCATGTGATCAGACCCATACATCAGTTCTAGGATTCAAAATATCTCTCGTGCCTTGATCTAGGCACCAGACTTCATCATTTAGGAAACAGGATATTTAGCATGTACGTACAGTCAGACGGTACTGAAGAGAATAGCTCAAGTAAAATTGTCGTAAAAAAGTCGGCGTGAAACTTAGTTGTTTTAAGAGATTAGGAAGGTGGTAATAGATGTGATAGAAGACATAACATATAGAGATTGTAGAATTCTAATTACACAGAGTCCGAGCGGAATATGTCCACAGCATCACAAGACTGAAGGAAAAGTCAACAATCGCCCAGCTCCCGAGTTCGTGGAATTAACGTACAACAAACGTTCCCACTCTTTAAACTGGTCAAAATGGGATACTTAATGAAAGTTGGGCGAGTAAAACAATCTTCTAGTTCTCACGAGAGATTTCAGTTGTCTGGGAAGCTCTAGAAAACTACGGCTCTAGTTACACAGAGAACTGAAATTATATATACAACTGGAAATGCAACAGGATTTAAGTATTTGTTCAAAACTGGTGATTTAATAAATTTATTTAAAGTGCTTATGATATATATAAAAGAAAATATCAGCAAAACAAAATAGGAAAAAGTGTTGAGAGTCGTTATTTTATGAAGGGTTTGTGGGGAGGACATTTAATTTGTTCGATATCTTTTTTTTTTCTTCTTCTTCTGAGCATCATCATGTGTTCGCCGTCATGGATACGAAGGTTGGTTATCATGGAGTTCTATCTTCCTAGATCCTAGGACCTCTTATTTAACAGCTTGTAGCATTTCAGTTCCATTCGTCCAGATGTATCATTCCAAAGCCAGAACCAAATCATCACCTGAAGATCATCTCTAAACATGACCCTGCATATCCTCAACATTTCCTTTCTTCCTCTAATGGCTAGATTGTGTAGAAATAAATGCTGAGTCACATGGTAAAACTTTCATTTATTTATGGAAATGTTTGTACGCTGAGAACATTCTCTACCTGGTTTAACAAAGAATGTTTGGGAAGTAAGTGGAAGTTTAGATGGAGGCTGCGTGTACTTTGACAAGATGCCTCTTCAAACTGCACTTCTGGGTGAAGTTTCCGTTGCAGAGATTACATGTGAAGATCTCCCGTACTTCGTTATGATGAGTATTGAAGTGGCGTCTGAGATTTGCATAATTGTAGAACCTCTTGCAGCAGATAGCACAGATGGACGTGCCTAGAACTACAAAATCGGTTAGACGGTGTTTACAATGTTTCGTTGTCAATGGGTGAAACAGGACCTTTCACGAGAGACCATAGCTTAGAAATATATAGACACTCCTGGAAGAGTGTCAATACAAAGGTGGTCGCACATGAAAGGTTTATCTAAAGCAGAATTGTCGAGGTTGTCAATAATGACACGAATAAGTGGATCTCGCAATTCTAGCTATTTGTTTGAATATCATCCGCAGATAAAAAAGAGTCGAAAAAATCTCATAAATTCTTTATTCTCAACTTTGGTACAATTGTATCACATAGAGAGCTGGTCTTTCAGCAACAAGTTGATTAAAGCATAAAGATAATATAAAGACAAAGAGAAATAATCACAGAATGTCGTGATTTTAGACTGCCTTGTGGACTGATGTGAGATGTCTCTTCAGGTTGGATCTCTGAGAGAAGACTCGAGGACAGAAGGAACAAGGAAAGACTTCCTGTACTTCCGTATGATGGGTGTTGTAGTGGCGGTTGAGGTTGGAGGAATGGTAGAATGTCTTCTGACAAATGTGGCATGTTGGCACTCCTGAAACAAAACCTTACGGCATGTTATCTGTATGTTCAAGAATGAGAAGCATAAGCTGATAGAAAAATCTAATTCGTAGTTTTCACAAAGAAAACATAAAACTTAGAAGAACATATCTATGGTTATAATAAAGATAAAAGGTCCTTATAGAGTGTTAACCTTCTAAAATGTAACCTGGACTTCTGAAACGTACGCAACTATCCCGATTGATATGATGTTTGCTACTTTATATAGAGAGAAATCACTTTAGAATTAAAGATACAGTATAGATACACTATAATTCCCGTGAGAGACCGCTTAGAGAGAAAATGGAGATACTCTTTGAGGTGGTCTCTTATTGGATTAGTTCAGATAAGGGCATTTTTCATTTTAAAAAGGTAGTCACTCACCATATTTTCGTATAAATAAAAAAAATCAAATTTCAGTTAATATTTATTCCGATAGCTGGCGCTCAGTGTTGAGATATTTATTTGCATAATCAGGATATGCTCTTTTATTGTGCATAGAATTTGAAATTGTCCGCGAGAAGGCTACTTAGAGAAGAATGAGGGTTTAAACAGACATCCCTGGAAGAATTAGGATGTTTTATTTTTATCAGTAGTGGAAGTATGTGGGAAGTTGAAGCTGGTCAAGAGGAATTCTAGGAACAACGCTTCTCATATGTAAACATCTTAGAAAAGATAATATTAGCATAAGGAAAGTTCAACTTATTCGGTCCCTTTTTGGAAGTAGTTAATTCCCTGTAGCTAACATTAAGAGACGGAATGTCTTGTGGTGAGCTTTAGTTTGCACAAGTTCTATGCAGTAAAACCTGCCTTAAGCAGAAGCCGTGATATGCGGCCTCCGCTTAAGGTACCCCCGCGTGCACCATGTCAACTCTACACGTCAAATGGAGGAGCCTATAGCACCTGGTGTTTCCTATGTTGCCATCCTCCCAAGTATTGACCGAGTCCGACATTGCTTAACTTCGGTGATCGAACTAGAATCAGTGTCTTAATGTAGTAAAGCCGTACTGACCAAAACTATAATGCCCATGTACCTGTATTAACTGTGCCATGAAGTTATTTTACCGTGATCCCTGAATAAAACCGCATAAGACAGGTTTTACTGTGGCAATAAGGAAGTTCACGAGAATTTATCCTCTTCATTCGTTACAGAAAAAATGCAAAAAAACTTGAAACCATGCCTCTAGGACTGTAAAAGCCTGCTTTTTTTTTTTTTTACTTATACCAACCAAGTACTCAAGGTACTGGCTAAATTGATCATTAGGGATTTGCAAATACTTTTGCTGTAAGTGCATCACATTTTACACATGTAGAAAACAGTTTGACGTTTTCATTTACAAGTTTCCATAGCACTGTTCGGCTATTTGCGCTCACTGATAGATTTGTGTAAGAATTGGGGGACATTGAAACATTGTTTTTTTTTTAGAAAGGAATGCTCGAACGGGATTCGATCCCTGTATATGGTTGTTAAGAAGAAAGGTGTGTGGATTAACAGGGGAGAAGATCTGTATAAACAATTCTACGAAAGAGTGTCTTGAACATAAAGTCTGCTGGTAATTTGTCGGTTCGTATTGACTCTTTTAATAAAATAATCCTCAAGAATTTACAGTTTCTTGAATTTGGGCAACTTGTGATACCCCACACACACAGCGCCATATATCCTATACAAAAATAAAATACAAATATATATTAGAGAAGTAAAATAAATAATAGACAAAATGCCGTTTCAGATTGTCTTTACTCACTTAATCACACACACACACACAACTTGCCAAGCTTCAATCTTTATACTCTTCTATTTATTATCTTTTCAGTTTTTTTTTTTCGAATCAAAACTTTTACAAAACATCCATAGACTTCGGCACATCATCTTCTAAATTCTTATCTTCCCCATTATCTTAAAAATATATATATAATAATAATATAGAGAGAGGAAGCGCCTCAGGTGGGTGATTCCGATAACATATTTGAAAGCGTGTGTGTTTATTTACTATTTTAAAAATATTCGATTTGGTAAAAAATCCCGGAGACTTAGCACCTGTAACTCATTTAAATCGTCGTTAGTGAAATATTGTCTTGAAGTAAACGAAGACAAATTTCTGGATGACGTAATTTATTTTTGTCAACACAATTCCATCTTATTTACATATTGTTTAGTTAACACAAGGTTCCTGGAGCCATGTACAGATTTACAATGCAAATGGAGGTCCAATTCATGAGATGACGACAAGAAAGTTTATTTCTTGGAAGATTTTCCATGGATGATGGACTTAGTTCTGTGGTTTCTAGTAGGATGGCTGTCTGGAGTATTGGAAGGTTGATGGAGAGAGGGAGGTGGTTCACGGTTTGGTCTTCACTTTGGTAATGACACATCTTCTTTCAATATATTTGCATAGTCTACTTGGACATGACCATGTGATCTGTCAGGATTGCTGTTGAGGTAAATCTTGATGTTAGGTAACATGTAGAGCCTTAGAGTGGCAGAAAATCTTAAAGAATTTCTGGTGTGATTTCTTTAATGTAAAGGTCCATTCATATTTTCTCTGTGCGAGCTGTCTTTTAAGAATACACCAATACCTCGCTTTGCGTCGTTTCGTTTTGCGTTTTTTTTTAAGTTGCGTCGCTGCTTAATTTTTACTGATTTTCACTGTGCGTCGTTAGATTTTCGAAGTTGCGTTGTTTTGGATTCGAGTCTTTAATTTTTATTTTTTTTTTTGATTTTTTTTTTCCTAAAATATGGCAACACCTTTGTTTTTGATTGCGCCTTCACATATTTTCACTTTGCGTCGTTTCAATTTGCGTCGTGTTTTTTTGGAACGTAACCCCGACGCAAAGCGAGGTATGGATGTATATCATTTTATCAATTAACAAGAAATTAAAGGGGAACATTAATCCATCTCTCCGATAAAATTTTCTTACTTTTTCTGTGTCAGAAACTTTCAAACTTTGTCTTCGCTAGCATGTCGTCACTTGTTGACTAACGCCTCACAGCCTATTTCCGTGTTTCTTGATCACATGGGCCGTGAGCTGGAAGCGGAGGCCGTACGCCTTGAGGCAGAATGGACAGGAGTGGAGCTCCTGTACTTCGCTGTGTCGCATACGGATGTGCCGTCGCAGTGTCGAGACGTCGTAGAAGGTCTTGCAGCAGACCAGGCACGTTCTGTCACGTCCTGCACACGTTAACGTCACGTTAGGTAAGACAACACACATATAGGGATAACTAACTAATGATAATGTTAGTGAAAGGCACGCCCGCGCGACGAAGAGAAGAACAGTTTTCAACCAACACCACCGTCCGTCGGCGGTGGTGACGTCACGGTCGGCGCGCATGCGCGGCGGCGGCGGTCACGTGGGAAGCACGGGCGTGGACCCTTCGAATTCTGACGGCCAACACGGACTGACTTCCTTCCCAATCCATCCTTTTCAATCGAACATTTTTTAACTTCTTTAATTACTAAAATTAATTTGTAACATAATATTTATATCTATATTTATCCTGAATAAAATTTAAAATATCAAGGATGATTAATTGAATCATTCTTTCAATACCAAACGAACCTGTCATAGTGTACCATTCAAAAAGTGTACCGAACAGATAAGTTAATTTCCTTTACACCAATTCCCAAGTGAATGATTATATGCAACTATAAGGTAAAGCCTAAATTAGGAAGCCAAAAAAAAAAAAAGCAACTGAAACATTTTTTTTTTTATTTGCGTCCAGGTTAGAAGTTATTCTTTTTTTTTTTATTGGCCAAAGTGATTGTTTTCAATAGCATCTAAGTCAAGGGACTTGGTCACATTTAAAAAATAGTACAAAAATGAAATTGTACTGGGATGGAGCAAGCCATTAGCAACTTTCAGCTTCACATCAGGAGTTATTTTATTTTTTCTTAATGTAGCCACACACATGTGCGTTTTGTGTGAATTTTACAGGGTGATACGAATCAAACTTTTCTGATATTTCTTATCACTATGATAAATATTGCAGTTGCTTTTTTTTACTCCTATGAAATATTACACAATGTATTTACATATGTAAAGTATGCAAATTTTGCTTACCTCCGAAGGTAAATATCTTGATAAAGAAATCAAAAGATTCGGACAACTTTGAAGGATCAAAGGCTCTATTAATAAACTAGACGAAATTTTCTCCCCGAGTGAATGTTTCCCTCCAATCAAGATTTAAAAAATGTTTATTATTAATATAATGATATTATTAGTAGTAATAAAGATCGGAATATTCATTGAAAATTATTATTTTAATCATTTTCCGAACCCCAAACATGCTAATTGGACCGCTATCAGACATAAAACTGAATACTTCCAGGTCTAGTAGCTCTATATAGGCTCAAAGTTTCATCGGGATATGTAAAATATTATGGGAACACATGTGGGGAACAAACAAAGACCACAATAACATTTACAAAATTCTGAAGAAGCAATTAATGGTTTCTGTCTAAAGAGGAATTGCCGTAATGTTTACAGAGACAAATGAGGTTGTCGAACTCTTCCAATTTACATAATGGATTATTTACAAAGACTCTATATACTGAATGGAGTTTCGTCACTTTTATCTAAGATTTTCTTATAATAATATTTACACAAACTTCATTAACCTTTCGTATATTAATTTTTATTTCAGATATCATTATCAATTTAGCACTCTCTATCGCTGAGATTTAGGCTACTTTTAAAAAATATCAAGAATTGTAGCGTTAAAATGTACTTCGAATTTTCAGCCTTTTTATATCCGACATTTAAGCACGACTCGCTATCGCCCTATTCAAGGAAAAAAAACCATTCTTACAATGTTATGTTCCTTGAACGTTTAGATGTCGAAAAAATTTTATAATCAGTACCTTTATTGAACAAATTTAATGAGGATTTGGTGTAAGGAAAACCAGCGCTGTATTTTGTAGTCATTAGTAGAACCAACGATAGATTGAGAAGACGTGTGTCCTTCCATAATAATAATAATGAGAAGAAGACAAGAGTTATAAGCAACTTTATTCATGACAATCTTTATAGGGATGTTTCTTGATCATGTGTGCCGTGAGGTGGAAGCGGAGACCGTAGGCTTTGTGACAGTAGGGACAGGAATGGAGCTCCTGGATGTCGCTATGACGGGTTTTGACATGTCGTCGCAATGTGGAGACGTCGTAGAAGGTCTTGTCACACGCCAGACATGTCCTGTCATAGGCTCGCCCTGCGCATGTTACGTCAGATCGCTCGCCATGCAACAACGGATTGAACATCAGGACTTAGGCCCACATTGAAGCAATTTTATAAAAATAGTAAACTGATTCAATATATCCCCCCAACAGACACATACAGGAGTTTACCAGTAAGTGCAAGTAACCAATACGGTGCTCTGGAACATTTTAAATACAAATGTCGGATCGCTTTTACATATGTAAGCATGTTGTGTACTTACAGTAACAGACCCACATGATTATCTTGGGTATATGTGCTTGGTATAAGTAACCACAACGGAGTGGTTGTTTCTTTCTTCTATAAGTTTGCCCTACGAATGAGTAGGAAACGTTTGATAAAGGGATCCTCTACATGCGAGCTAAGAACGGCGAGCAAATGGAATAAATCTCCATATTGATGTGTTCTCCAATCGTCAGTAATTCTAAATGACACATACATCAGTAAGAATAAGAAAATGTTAAAATCGACCTGCTGTAGGTAATTCAACAGCGTAGAAGGGAAAAAAAGGACAATAGGCACACGAGACCAAGATCCTTTTAAACAAGAGGATGCTAACCCAGATAAAAAGCACTTGTCTATGGAGTTCTTGGAAGCCTGTAAAATTGTTGTGTATCAAGTTGTAGAAAATGATGGGAACAAGAGGAAACATGACAGAGAACTTTATTTTCGGCTTACTCCCTTAAGCCGTGTTTTTTGAGCATGTGGGCAGTAAGGTGGAACCTGAAGGTGTAACTACGGCCGCAGTATCTACAGGTGAAGAGTTCCAGGATCTCGCAGTGCCGCGTGCGGAAA